ATAAAAATCAGAGGTAACCACTTGAACGGAAGGGATGGAATGTCGTAAAGCCGATCTTGAAACCTTTGCATATGACAGGGGTTAGATGAACTGGGTTTGTGAGATGTCAGAAACGTATGTCATCTACCCTATTATTTTAAGAGTTTCTTCGGTATAGACGTGAACAAAGTAGCAAAGTAACACATGATTCGAGATCTTTTATTGGATTGATATCTCCTTTTACATAGCAAATGAGTCAGTCCACTTCTGGTAGATAATTTGTTAACACCTTCGGCTTCCACCTTAAGTAGTGGACGTGATGTATAAACTTTATTAAGAATTGTAAAATCCTTAAAAATATATCAATTTAAAATTTGAATGTTTCCAGTACTCGATTAGAAGCCATATTTGGACTTAAATATTTATAAATCTTTTCAATTCCAGTGGAAAAAGATGTTAGGATAATGGATTTTCAATAATTTGTGTTTCTGTAATTTAAGTACGTAAATGTATATCTCAAAGTTCAAAATGATCAGAAATTTTATTTATTCTCCTTTATTTTGCGTTTAAAAATTTGTAGAAATTTTTGAATGCACCATTACCTAAACTTACTTTTGGAAGAGTATTTTAATATAGGAAAGAAACGTTATCTGACTTTTTTATTATATTCCTTATACTTGCTATTAGTCTACCATAAAATGATTTAAATGACATCAGAATATCAGAATTGTATGAGTAAATTTTCGTACAGAAAAGAATAAAATCATTATTACAGAAAACTAGTAGTATGTACTTTAATAGATGAATTGTATTGGAATATGTGTTTCTCTTATTTGCATTAACAAGTACTTGATAATTAAAGACTTATTTATTCAAATGATTAAATATTAGCATTTCTTTTTACTCATATAAAAAGTAATACGTATTAATAATCGTGATATTTGTATTTATAATAAATTTTTGTACCAAGAATCGACACTCTTGGTTTTTCCGCAGAGACTGTCATTTTCGTATTCTTAAAGCACATGTAAAAATGCTTAAACGCCACGTTTCCATCGTACATATTGTAATTTCACTATTTGTACAGAGTTGGACGTTATTCGAATAAATTATTATTCTTAACGGTAACATTACTATTATTATTGTCAGTGTATTGTTATTTCCGTCATATCTTTCGTATGTATCTTTAATATATAAATGATTACTCAAATGAATTTTACTTGCAATAACTTTCTACTTGTAAGATTATTTACAGGTACGTTCGATTACATTATCATTCGAATAAACGTGTAATGTAACAATCTGTTTCATATAAGGAATTATCTCAAATGAGTTGATGAAGATTGAAGTATAAAAGAAATTAACTTTATGAAATGAAATAAACTTTACTATACTAAATTTCAGAATTAAATTTTAAATATGAAGTCTAATTCTACTATCATAAGTAAGGAATAACGTTAAAATTTAATTTTGAAATTTAGTAAGTTGTATAAAGGATTTTGTAGTACAATCTTTAAGATGCTAAACGTAACACAGAGTTATCAACATTACAATGAAATTAACACCACGATTAAAATTAAATTGATTTTTTTTATTTATTTGAAGATCATAATTCGAACGAAACGTGCAATTTGCAATTTAATTTAATAATTGAAATAAAGAAAACGTATGTATAATTACAATTATGTACGTAAAAGTTTCTTTATATTGACACTACTGTTCATTGATTGTTATTCGAATAAAAATAGTCCGACTCTGCTTTTGTATAGCCATAAAACGTGTATGAGAATGAGAGAAATAGAATGAATGAAAATTAGCCCTAAGAGATAGAAGATCTTGTCTCGTGGAATTGTAAAATAAGAAATTCAAGAGAGTAGGTACTGCTCAAAGTATGTCAAATTTGATTGATCTAGTGTTTAACCAATCAAATTGAACTATATCCACCGGAAATTGATGAGACAATGTTCGATTCTTTCTAACTATAAACGACAAAAAAAATATTGAAATCCTTATGTTTTTATGTTAAAACCAGTTAAATTGAATACGGAACAAAATGTAAACAATTTTTAATTGTAATTAATAATATGTATTCGATCTAATTGTACTTATATTATATTTGTAACTTACTTTTTTAAGGATGTACGAAATAGCACAAATGAAATAACTAGTTATGAATTATTTAATTTTTGAATTTATTATTAAATGAAATCAGTTGAAAAGAAATTTAGTAATAAAATATTAACCATAGCTGCAACGAACGTCCAGAAATTTCAATCATTCGTGACTATTTTTTAGAACTCAAGCTGCTCTTATCTATTTAATTTTATGAAATAATTAAAATATCACCAGTTCTTCCAAAATAATTCAATGAATGGTTCAGGATATTGGGATATGCCTTCTTTTAATATGCTTGGTTACATTCAATGTATTAAGCGGTTTTAATAACTGTTTAATTGCACTGTTTCAATTTTGTCTCTTATTTATTCTTTTTCTTTTTGTTTACAATGGGGAAAAGTGGAAAACAATTTTTAAGTATTATCTATTTGAGTTTTCTTTGCTCATTGTTTCATGTTCTCATAATATATATAGATTAAAAAATAGTATCAAAAGAGATATTAATAATATTGTAACAGAAATTTGAAATCATGAAATTATTTTTTTTTTCATTTTGATAAAAAAGAAA